TTTCTAGAGGTTTTAGTTATGCTCTATAACCATCGTGGCAACCTCTCGTAAAATGCGAGGCAAAATCGCCATAAATGCACGCGTGACTGAAATATGGCGCAGTAATCTTTATGAGACGTTGTTACTTGTCAGTTACCACTGAGGAGAGTAATGATCCATACTATTACACCACACCCTGCTACACATTTATTTATTAATAACAAGCTACACAAATCATATGATCGCTACTCAATTGTAGCACGGTGGCATTCATTAGCAGTGCCGACACTACACAGAAAGATTTTCGTCATTTCTTTTTGTAATTCTAAAAACACAATCTCAAACGAATATCAATTTTCTAAAAATCTGTGAAGGAAAGATGATAATTTTACAAGCCATTAAGAATATATATATATAGGTATATGAAATTAATGATAAATTATTATTTATAATTCGCGCGTAATTATTTTTTTAGCGTACAATCTAAGATGCAATATATAAGTAGTAATCGCGATAGGATGGAACGAAATGAGCGGAAAATATGTCGCGGCTATACATTTATCCGCTCCTTTACGGAAAAGTTCTGAATACGAATATAATGAGGTCACTGATTCCGTAATGCGCCGAATCGAAAATTCTTTAACGAAACTGCACTTTAATCTCAAAGCCCGGAGTCCCGTCGTCGGTATTCCAATTCCTCTCCGCCTTCCTAATTACCTGTTCTGTTATAATCGCGAGGCACTATTTATTCGTCGGGCAAGATCCTCGTCGGGGATCGCGCAGTAAATTCCCGCCTTCCGACGTGTGTACCAGCGGATTCTGCCGGTTGATTGCAAATTAGAACACGAACGGGCGCGTAAGCTTATCGAGCAATACGAATGCGCATCCGAGTCTAAGTGCTCGCCAGAAGGAAAGTTATGCCCTTCGATATGGAGCAATATGGAACAAACGTTGCAGTGGATTTATTGAATGCGCGCAAAGCCGTATTTTTATATAACTTAAATATATCGTAAAAATTATGAGTGAAAAATAGAGAGATAAAGTATGGAATAATTAATTGTTTAAAAAATAATATGAATCAGTGATATGTATGTGCTCATATGAAATTAAACATGAAATTTATATAAAATTCGCGTTCATCTTTTTGATTAAGATTCTTTTCCAATTAATATTTTTTATTTTTAAACAAAAATCTCGCTTACATTTATATGCTTATATTAGTCAGTACATCTATCATTGGATAAGTATACAATAATTTCGTGATATCGCGCGTATATAAGTAAATATTTAATTTTCATCATTTTATATTATATGAAAAGTAATGAGACTACGATATTATATGTTATATTAGTGGATATTATTGTTTTAAGACATTTTACAACCTTTACAGAACCTTCACCTTACGGAAGGATAATACTACTAATATCAGAATACAGTAGTAGAGTAAAAGAAAAGTTTAAAGCAAAGCTGAAATATAACGAAGGCGAAATGTGTGCGAATATGATCTGTTTTATATTAATAAATGGAAACTCTTATGTAAGCACCTTCCTTGCACTTATTATTTTACACGCAATATCTGTTTGATAAAACATTTCATTATCCCTTATAAGTTCGTGATATTTATCGCGGCTTTGCGCGCGATCGTACAGCAGGGATCATAACAACAAAAATCGCTTTCCGCGACTATTACCTTAATTCGCACACTCGCGCGTTTCTAAAATAACATGTAAATTTAATAGCTCGCGCCGCGACAGGTAGAGCTTAGAGCGCTACGAGAACCCGCGCATTAAATACCTACGGAATCGTATATAGCTTCTTACGAAGCGTCGTAAGAGGACACGGATGGAGAAAAGAGGGTGAAAGGGCGAAGCGCTTATTAAGTTAGTCTCGGGGAATTCCGGAGCTGAGCGCGTACGTACGAATTATACGATCTACCATCGTGCGATGCTACGCGGAACGAACGAAGTGGCGGCCGCCGCGAAGAAACGAAGGCGAAAACGAAAACAAAGTCGCCGAAGACGAGACGATGGCGACGATGGCGACCGGGTAGAAGAACGAAGATGCGAAGGGGTGGGATGGGCAGAGATTACGACGAAAGATGACGATGAGTCCACGGATGAGCGGTCCGGGCTAGGGTGAAAGTAATAACAGTGAAACACATGTGCACGCGTTGAAATCGCGCACACCGGTACCGAGCGACGTGTACGTGACTGGTGCTTAAACCATTTTTCGATATGACCGGTACTTAGATGCACGCCGGACTTGAGCCGCCCGCTGGGCTCGCTCAGAGAAGCCACCACCAAAGATACCCGCATCCTTGAGAAACTCGAGGACGCCGAAGACGAGGGACGGTCGATCGCCGCGATGACAGAGAGGGATCGCGCGGGGAGAGAGATAATTATTGAACGATAATTGCAGAACGGATGTTTACGATTTCCCATAAGATTCTCGAAGACAATCGTCGTTGGGCCTTGTGTAGATAAAACAGTACAAATAGGAACATAACCCCGATTTCTTTTCGGCACTTATTTTCATTGCCGCAGCTGCAGAGAACAATGACAATCTTAAAAGTATTTTTGCCTTGTAATAAAATTGCAGAATAGATCTATTCTCTCACATAATTTAATAAGTCAGAATTGATATATATATATATTTGAATTTATAAAATGTTAGAAATCAGTAAAACTTTAGATGCCTTTCTAATACAAAATATGAGAAACCATTATCAATCAGCTAAATTTGAAAATACATTAATATTGGCGTATACGCTGCCGTAATTATGAACTATTAAACCGTTTATGTTCGTAAACGTTCCAACATGAGGGTAATAACTAATTGCTGCTACCGGGAACGTGATAGTATGATTGGTACGAAGCACGTCATGTTTCAATTGAGAATAATTAAACGTTATCGCCATTTAACGACCACGTAGGAATTATTTCTCACCAATATCACCCTTTTTCATCCTTTTAATGTGGCCGACAATATTTTTTTAATTTAAACAGTATTTTTTGGCTATTGATAAAGTATCAATAAAAAATTATTATTTTCTCCATAATAACATAAATATGCTAAAATAAGCATAATTATATATAAAATATACACACACATACACACACACACACATTAAATTAAAATAAATATCTTTCAACAAAAATTGATGTTAAAATAATGTTAAAAATTTTGTTGATAAAATCTCTTTAACACAAAAAGCTGGCGTTTCAATTGTTCACCGATTTATGAATTGTTAGCTATTGTGCAGAGGTATGCGAGATACCTGGATATTGTTAACCGCGCTTGCTATTAATTTACGAATAATATCGTATTTAACCGTCCCTGCTCATAATAGCATAATTGACGTTTTTAGTGTTCAAAAAATATCGATTTTCTGCACCTCGACAACAAGAGAGATCCTTACATTGCATTCTCCGTGAGATACCACCGATTAACGCGTCCATCAATTACGTGGTTGGTGTAGGTGAAAGGGCGCTAAAAGCACGCGGACGAGATATGTTGCTGCCTACTTATGTGCCACTTTCATTTCTCGTTGCATCCGCGCCGCGGTTCTTTCTCTTTCCACGGATTTTCGTGTTCCCCCGAGAGGCAGTAAACGAGTCTTCGGTCATTCGGAGTGACATATTCAATGGCGAGAGTCGACGTAGATGCCAGCAAGAGTTGGAAGCATCCAGGGTGCCGTATAAATTCGCAATATCACAAAGTCTTCCGGCGATGTATAGATACGAGCGAATATGTGTACGTGAATATACAGCGCAAAAGTTGGAGCGGAAATCGGGTCACGTCGAAATATTTTCTTAGATCCCCTCTAGTCTTTTCCCAGCGCAAATTTTTTTCTTCGTGTGCATGCATTTACACGTGTATGTATATGTGTCTGCGTATACATGTGCTGCGTGTGGTGGACCAGAGGACCGAAGTACTTCAGGAACTTTTCGTGTCAGGTGGGTATGCAGAGCACTCGAAGGTGCCTCCTAAAATTACGGGCGCTTTAGTGCTCTAGCGAGCGAATTTAAACGAGAAATTCGCATCCATCAAACGGGTCAAAACGTATTTCGTGATAAAGAAAAGGGGGCAGAGAGAAATAAATTATAACGATGATACACCAAAATAGAACGTGCGAAGGGCAACAGCGGGTTAACGCTATCGATTTTGTGACCGCAAATAAAGTTGCACGTTGGAGCGGCTGAGAAATGTCGTCACAAATGCGGCACTAGGATTACAAAAAAATAATCTCTAGATCATCCCTGGCCGTTCGTAGTATTGACAATAGAAAATTAATAAAGCGATTATGGAAACGTTAAATTTAATTGTATACTTGCAAGCACCGCGCATAGAGTTTAATATAATAATATAGCATCAAGTAGATGAGAGTATAGAGTATGAAATAAAGAGACTGCGATAAAAAAGCAACAATAAGATGCTTTATGAAAGTTTGACGCAGCAGCTCTGTTTTCAATATCTCGGATTAGTCTTCGTAAATTAATATTCGATCTACTATAATATCGGAAACAATATTTCGCATTTTAATATACTTTTTCATCGTTGGCAAGCATAGACCATTAAGTCATATAAAATTTAGTAGTTTTTTTTGGAACATCCATTTTATAATGATCTGAGCTTTAATATCGATATTGCATATTCCAATCTATATGAAAGAAGAGGATTGCAATTTTTTATCTCTAGGGCAGAAAATTAAATATTTTGTCAAGAATATATAAATATGCAGACCATAAGTGCGATAAAACTGTATTAATGGATACATTTTGCAACGGTTAAATATTATGATATATTAAACCATGCACGAATAAGAATGTGATTAACAGAACCATATAGCTATCTGTTAAAATTTTATAATTCATTTTTATCTTTTAAAATAAGACTAATAACATCTAATTGTTAAGTCTTCTTGTAAAGGATCATTGTACTTTTTAGTAGAAAAGGATTTAACTTAATTTTTCGAATTTCAGTTACGCATAACAAGCAATTAATAGAAAATATCTACTTACGTATGTCCCTTTAGTATTGTTTCGATCATATTCGTCGCTATAGACCAGATAAAGACGGAACCGTCTGCGGAACCAACCGCTATGTACTGCCCGTCAGGACTGAAAGCGGCTCTTGTCCAATCGAATCCCACTTTGAAGCCGTCAGCACTGTAAAATAAAATAAAAATACAATGATTTACCATTTTAATATTCTAGTCGCGTATATATGCGATAAATGCACACATAACCCACCTGAAGGACCCAACAATCTTCTTCATTCGTAGATCAATCAATTTCACCGTGTCATCCCTCACGCAACTCAAAAGGTAATTTGCGTCTGAAATCAAATAGATGCCTTTATGATTCGCGATCGTCTATGATTGAATAATATTTAAATTGTTTGCGTAAATGTTTGCGGAGTTACAACTTTAGCTAAACAAATATTTCGTACATTTCGGACATATTGTAATTATTTAATAAAAATACATCTACGAAATATACACAATACCACCAATTCTATCTCTAGACATTAAAAAATCTAGTACAGCGCAATAAACTTGTATGTATTGTAGTTCACCATGCATCGAAATAATCCGTTTTTATTAATCTTCTTTTATATCATATTGATCTGAAATACCTAACGCAGAAATATTTGGGCTCTTTTCAGATCTTTTTCAAACAAATGTAATTAATAAACGACGAAAAATACTAGAAAGCCGCGATATATTTGTTTAACTGCAAAAATTAAAAATTAGAATAAGATACTGTTTCATTGAATTCATCACATTTGTATTTTGGCAATATTGACAATTAATGAAATGCA